ATGGCTGTGCCTGGGAATGTGTGATCTGATGGCCAAAAGCGACGCCGACGCGGACAGTATCAACACCAGCAACAACAGCAGCAACAACAACACCATTGAGCACTGACAACCGCAGGCAGATCCATGGCCTATTTCGATTTGAGTGCGCAAAAATCGACCGCTGAGCTGCAGCTGAAACTGGAGGCTGCATCTGTAGACGCAAGACTGCGTTGTTCGCCGTTGCCCCAGAGGCCTCTGGTCTGCTTTCGCGGCATGGTCAAGGAATCGACTTGAGAGCGACCACATACGGTGCCCAGGCCCACCTGCCCGCCGCCTCCACCTCCACCTCCACCTCGTCCGCTGTCCTACAGCCGCCTGCTCTTTCCGCTTAGTTACGCAGTGGAACCAGCATAAGCTGCTGATCCGCAGCCGATCGGTATAAGCTTGATCAACTTTGTCTGGTTTAGTTACGGCCTAAACGTCGCAGCCACCGCATCGCCAAGCACCAATATACAGTGCCCGGAGCCAGCAGACTCTGAACCAGCTCAGCCTCACATTGCAGCGAACATTTTTGCGAGTGGCGGACCTTAACTTGACTTAACTTAACCTCGAGCAGAGAGTGTGCACAAATTAGATCTAGCTGCTCATGACCCGGTCCTTGACTTACATTTAAATACTTATGACTAAATTGAAGCTGTCGATCTCTATTGGAATTGAATGTAAGCTTTGATTAGCGTTGAGGGTGGAGGCGGCGTCCGCTACTTATTCTCTCAAATCATATTATTATATGGCTTCCTGCATCCATTTTCCTGATAAAGTAGAAGAACATGGATCACAGATCAAAGATCAAACATCTTAGATCATAGATCCTAGATCATAGATCATAGATCATAGATCATAGATTTTAGATCATAGATAATAGATCAAAGATCAAAGATCAAAGATCAAACATATTAGATAATAGATTATAGATCATAGATCATAGATCATAGATCAGAGATCATAGATCCTAGATCAAAGATCAAAGATCAAACATATTAGATAATAGATTATAGATCATAGATCATAGATCATAGATCATAGATCAGAGATCAAAGATCAAAGATCAAAGATCAAAGATCAAACATATTAGATCATAGATTATAGATCATAGATCATAGATTATAGATCATAGATCATAGATCCTAGATCCTAGATCATAGATCATAGGTCATAGATCATAGATCATAGATCAAAGATCAGAGATCAAAGATCAAAGATCATTGATCATAGCATGTTAAAATAATCTAGACTTCAAGGAATATTGAGTTATCATAGGAATTTTTAGCTAGACTCTTCCTGAGGAGTCTAAAAACTTGAGTCATAGGTCCTTTAGTTCCTCCGCTCTCTTTCTGTATTATCTACTGGGCATGAAGAACTTGAAATGAGTGCAGAGTTGAATGTTATTATTGACGACATTCAGTCAAGTTTTTACCTTTACCCACTGCATATCAAACGAATTCGAACCTATTGCGCCGCTTCACCAATTGTTTACATAATTTGTTAGTTATTTTCTGTTTTTTTTTGTTTGTCTGAATTGGTTTGGATTGACAGACTCGAGAGGCGTTCGCAAGTGTTTTCGGGCGACACAGTTCACCTTCTGCCATCTTCCACTCATACGCCCCGAAGCGGCCGTTGAGAATGGCATTTGGAGGAGGCGACGAACTATTTTTCCCCGTTAACGTGTTCACTTTTCAAGTGCTTCCTTTGTGACTGACTGCCTGACTAGCTGGCTGGCTGGCTGACTGGCTGGCTGGCTGACTGACTGACTGACTGAGCGCCTGTCTACGTGTATAATGCATGGTCGGGCGCTCGGCCGGCATAAACACTGACACAGCCATGACGTGTGCCTTTCAAAGAAACGCAAACGCGAACCGGCGAATGCCAGTCCTCAGTGCTCCGTCCGCCGTCCGCCGTCCACCGTCCTCTGTCCCGGTCCGAGCTCTCAGTTGGCAGTTCTCAGTGCTCAGTTGCAGTCACAGTTACAGTCTCAGTCGCAGTCTCAGTCGCAGTCCCAGTCGCAGTCGCAGTCGCGGTCTCAGTCTCAGTCTCCAGTCACAATCGCAGTGTCAGCTCGTGCGAGCGCGAAAAGCAAAGATTATAATGCCAAACAACTTCAGAACGTTCCTTAGGCAGTTGACGACGCCAAACTTCGTCGTTAACCCTTATGTGGCCGTATTATGATTTATGCCCAATTGTCACGATGCTCACAAATCCCAACTAGGCTATAAAACGTCAACGGAATGGCCTTAATATACGGCTATTAACAAGCACGCCCAAGGGTTAACGTCAGCGTTCAATATCTGCTAAGGAGAGTTACTTGAGTAAAAATTCATAGTCAAATTATGAAAATCGAACTGAATAGTCTCAAGTTGCTTCTCTGCGCTGCGACTGCCCATAAAGTCAAGGCAGTGTTAACAGGGTATTAAAAACTTAGCTGATTTGACGTCGCACTCGAAAATCGCGCGCACTCTCTTGTCGCACATTCAAGTCAAAGTCACTACTGCCATGTCGGACCCAACTGACGGGGCCCTCGTAGCAATGCGAAATGCCGGCGGTACAGCTGAAAGAGTCAACCTGGTGGACGTCGACGTCGACGTGGATGTGGACGTGGATGTGGATGTGGATGTGGACGTGGCACGACACAACGGCAAACGGCAACGACAACGACAACACGACATCATTTTGTACGTCACTCAAAATGTTCGTAGGCTGTCAGGGAGACAGTTCAAAAAATGAAATATATACATACACATTATAACAAATTCTAAAACGCAAAAGAGACACTCACTCACACAGACACATGGTCGGTCGGTCGGTTGGTCGGCTAGCCAGTCAGTCAGTCAGTCAGTCAGTTAGTCAAGCTTCATTGTTCGTACGTTCGATTGAAGGTGTAAGGCGTATGGATCAGCCCCAGATCCGAAGACCGATGTCAGAGACCCAGGACAACCCCAACAACACTTTTCCACATTTTACTCCACACAATGAGGGTGCGAGCGAGTCAGCTACGCTCAAGTGCGCTGCCCCGTTCCCGCTGCTGACGATGACACGGACACCGGCGCCGTCACAGACACAGACACAGACACAGACACGGACACGGACACGGACACGCTTGGCTGCTATGCAGTTCCAGTTGTTGTCATTGAAGGGTCTGCGAGGTGAGGGTGCGGTGAGAGCACCTTTTGATTTTATTATTGATTCAATTACAACGTCAATGCTAAAGGAGGCGCATATGGTCGTCGCCAGGATTGTCAAGTGCGCCACTGCCAATCACACACAGTTTTGCCATCAACTTATCAACTGTCAATTCAGTTTTGCCTGCTCTTCTTCGCTGTCTTCGTTCATTTGATCATTTGAATCGTTTATGAGTGTGCATGCATTCGCCGACGTTGACATGTGCCTTCTTAGAAAAAATATAATACACATCTGATAATACTGCTAATTGCTATTTACAATATTTGCATTGTTAAAAACGAATTTAAGCTGCTAACTGTCCAAGTTTTAAAGCCAAACAAACTTGAGAAAAGACCCGCAAAGAGAAACACTGAATGAACAAAGTGTAGATAGCGGCGGGTATGCACGACCTTCAAATATCCAGCAGTTAGTGAAAAGTAAGCTGTGTTGTTATATGGGAAACATTTTGAAGAAAGGTATATAAAGTTATATATATGTATCGCTGGGCACATGCAAAAATAATAACAAATAAAAAAATTAAATTTGCCAGAAATTTGAATTTTTTGACTATTGTCAAATCACCTATATAGTCGAGTAGACAGCACTGTGCTTCAATGCCTGACAATAATACCTAAATGGTACTGCTAATAAGCCGTTTAAATTTTTTTCTTCGTAGTGCTAATGACAATAATATTTGATTAGCCAGTTTAATTGGTTTTCTATTTTCCACTTTGTGTCAAACGCTGTCAACTTGTGTTTGCCTTGACTGTTTTTTTTCATATGACAAATCGATACTTATTTATCGATAGCCAACGTAAATGTTTCACAAATTATCGCATATTTATTACATCAAATATTCCTGGACCTGCTCGACAGACAACTCTCGAATAAATACAAATAGTTTACTCTGTCTGCGAGCGAATGTCGTGGGATCTTGTGTTTGCACAAGGCACTTAGCACTTCTTTCCGTATCGTATTAGAGAAGACTCGGATTAAATTATATGGTCGTTTATTATATTTTGTCATTTGATTTAGATTAACACCATTTCGTGGCATTCGCTTTATGCCGCATTACAGATGTGTTAGCAAAACAGTCTCATATATCACAAGCAGAGCGTTTGACTGTCATTGAAGGTTTGTCACTGTGCGTGTGTGTGGACGCTGCCTATCGATAGCATTGTTTTCGATATATATATAAATACATAAATATACATTTGTAATCGATATATAAACAAGCAAGCACAAACAAGCTGTCATCGATAAATAATAGTTGCTTGATTACCGATTGTGTGTCAGATTATCGATAGCATTGTTATCGATAACTATATGTGTATAAATATATATATTAGGCCAGAAAGTAAGGCCACTGTAGAGCATAAGTAAGCATTTTATCTGTGAGTGTTTGATTTGAGTATAGCCACAATATCGATAATTTTTCCATCGGTACATCGATATATTATATAGTGTTGATAGAAGACGCTATCTGAAATAAGACAGTATAAATGAAGTTGAATATGATTTTTGATTAGCCAACTATTTCATGTGTCATATGTCTACAGTCAGTCTATCGATAGCAATATTATCGATATCTCTATGTCAGTGCAAACAGAAATTTGATGCTCGAGCTTTACAGCAGCTACTCTGTTTGCCATTAAAAATTATATTCTTATCAAGTATTTAGTTTAGTGTATCGACAGCATTGTTATCGATATGCGGATATTAATCTATGATCTAGATCTTCATAAAATCTGTTATAAAACCTTTCCTATTTCATTTAAATGATTTGTGCTTAAAATCTTTCTTTACAGATGTGGATTTGGAAGGCCTATGCACTTTTCTCAATATGTAAGTATCGATTGCTGCAGCAGCCTCTCACTGATCTTAAGCTTTTGAGGCACAGATTATGGCTGTGTGGCCGTTGCTTTATGCATTCATGTTACCTTTCTGCCGGTCACTCATAGGCGTTTTTGACAATGTTACAACAGACTAATTTTTATTGTTTCGTAGCATATCTTAAGCGGACCGAGATGCCCTGAGATATTCGCCTCCGATACCGGGGCAACACAATAGAGTCACAAAGCTATTAAAAACTGATATAAATCTCATTAAATGCGATGGTTGTAGCACATGAACAAAGCCGCCGCCTTGCCTTCAATCAATCGTTTGTTTCGCTCCCGGCTACAAATAAGATATAAGAATGGGCTCTTGTCTTTGGTTCGGTTCAGCTCAGTTTAGTTCGGTTCAGTTCGTATCGTATCGTATCGTTTTGTGTCTCTCGTATTGCATCGTATCTTTTGCTTTTGGCTCTTCTTCACCAAATGCCTTTTATATGGCGTATTTACGAGTCTTTCCGTCCATCCGTCCCTCTCTCTCTCTTTGGGGTCTGACTGTCTTCAGGGCTTTTGGCTTACCTGTGGCCAAGTGAGCGTATCATAACTCATAAATTTGTCGTCAGGTTGATGACGCCACAGTAAGGGAGGGCGTAAACTGCTGCTCCACTAAGGTTATTTGGCATTTTGAGCCTTCAAACATTTTCCGATTTACACAAAAGTTGCAATATCAGATGCGACTTTCGGTTCTTAATAATATTTAATATTAATATCTTATTGAAGTTACTAATAATAAGAGAAATAGATATGTTATCGCGTGTATCCATAATAATACAAAGATTTCCGTTATCGGAATTCTTTTATCGTTACCAAAACTAACGATTGACATTGACGAATCATACCATCGGTAAACAAAGTTTAATATGATATCTATTGTCAGGCTTTCGGTAATAAATCTTTGAAAAATGTTTATCGATATACACTGACGAGCAAAACTGTAACACATGTTCAATGTTCTCACTTCAACGGTCTGTATAATCTTTTCTACTTTATGCATGATTATGATTATAGTTTTATTTTGTTAGTGAAATATTTGTCTCTTTTATCTATAAATTTGAAGACATTTGATTAGCGATAAGAGAAATACAATGGCAAAGAGTAAAAAAAGTCAAATGTTACAGTTTTGCACTCACAGAGCAAAACCTATTTACTTTTGTTTCAAAGCTTTTTTTACCATTAAAGCTTATTTGTTTTCGTTTAAATCGCCAAGCCTTGATCATTTTAAGTCATTTTGCAAAATAATTATGATGGCTGATGAGAAGAAAAAGGAAATAATCGAATTATTGATAGGGGGCGAATCCGTTAGGAAAGTGGCTAATAAATTCGGTGTTAGCCACATGACTGTGCAGTGTTAAAAACAAAAACAGTTCAGAAAACATTAAAATCAATAAAGGAGGCCGACCGCGACTTTTAAGCCAACGTCACACGCGCCACTTGACTAACTTAGTTACAAACAATCGCGACTTTACGCCAATAAAAGCGGCTAATGTGTTAAATTTAAATGCCAGTGAGTGGACAGTCCGTCGCAGTCTCGGCAGATTGGGGCTTAAGGCCAATGAAAGAAAAAAAAACCATTTCTAGCTAAAAGGCACATTAGTTTGCGTTAGAAACTGTGCTATAATGCATGAAAATTGGGGTCTAGCTGATTGGGATGCCGTAAGTTACAAATAAAAAGCTTAAACAATGCTAAAAAAAATTTTTCAAGGTTATTTGGTCAGACGAAACTAAAATTAATCGTTTTAAGTCAGACGGACGATCGTGGTATTGGACTAGGAATCCCACAGTCCAATCGGCAAATACAGTGCGGTGCACGGTGGCGGGTCCATAATGGTTTGGGGCTGTATTTGTACAAATGGAGTTGGGCCCTTAGTGTTAATCGATGGGATAATGCGTAAGGACCAATACCTAAAAATTCTGCAAGAAAATTTGGGAGGAGTCATTGGCAACATGGGTCTGGCTGTTGAAAATTGCATATTTCTGCAAGACAATGACCTAAAGCACACATCCCATTTGACGAAAAATTGGTTATTGAACCAAAAGTTTCAAACTATGAAGTGGCCACCGCAATCTCCAGACATGAATCCCATAGAAAATGTATGGAGCCATCTGAAATCGCAGCTTGCGAAATATGCGGCCCCTCCAAATGGCAGGATGGAGTTATGAGAGAGAACAAAGGACGTTTGGTACTCGATTCCACCTGAAATGGTGCGACGCTACACGCAAAGTATGCCAAACCGTATAAACAACCTCAAAAAATCAAAAGGGCTGTGGACCCGTTATTAAAAAAAATTTAATAAAAATATTTGTTTAAAAATATTTGCAGTGCAAAACTGTAACATTTGACTTTTTTTACTCTTTGCTATTGTATTTCTCTTATCGCTAACCAAATGTCTTCAAATTTATAAATAAAAGAGCCAAATATTTCACTAACAAAACAAGACTATGATCATGATCATGCATAAAGTAGAAAAAATAATACAGACCGTTGAAGTAAGAACATTGAACATGTGTTACAGTTTTGCTCGTCAGTGTACATATCGATTTTAAATTTGTTTTCTTACAGGCCCTGATCAATATCACCAATGGTAGTTTTCCCCAGTGTACTCAAATGTAGCGTGAAAATATTATTGATTGCTTTCGATAAATATCGATTTTCAATTAACTCTCTTGCAAGCTTTAATAAATATCACTAATATTAATGCATAAAATTAAAAATCATAATGCCTTTAAGGCTTTCTCGATTCATATCGATAAATATCGATTTTCAATTAGTTCTCTCACAGGCATTTAATCATATGATCAAAATTGCTATAAATATTTCCTAATCAAGTCGAATTTAATTTAAAAATGCTGTCGATTCCTGTCGATAAATATCGATTTTACGCATCAGCAACATTTTCCAACAGTTTACTTTAAGTATACTAATTAAACGATTTCGTACACCTTACCCCGAGTTCTTAGTAAGAAATAGTGAAAGACGTTTGTCTGCTGCTTTATCGATTAAGTGTAGAAGCTGTGTCATCATCGATCTTATGCATTTCAACTTCACTTGTCTACCTTTTGGTGGCTATATTTAGGACATAGTGGCAAGTTCACACCTTGCCTTGCCTGCCTACCGATCTCGTTCGTGCTCGTTCGTTTGCCATTCGCTATCTGTTGATTTGGTTGGTTGAGCATCTTTGGTGCTTGATTCAATTACACAAGCCCCAGCTCTAAATTGCGTTCAGTGAGCCAAGGGTCTTACAAAGCTGTGAACAATACGGAGAATGCCAACTCCTGCTGTGCTCCCAAAATCGACAAAAAAAAAAAAACGCAGCCACAACTGATCGGCTCAGACATGGGCAAACGGGTACAAGTAGCGCCACAGTCTTAGTCGCAGAAGATGAATATGCATTTGTCGCCCAAAATGTGTCAGAGGCCGAGCCAAGAACGCCAGCCCATGCCCATGCCCATGCCCATGTCCCTGTTCATGTCCATGTTCGTGTCCATGTCCTGCCATTGAGCGCTCACATGGATGCCAGCGTCTGTTGGCGCTCCGTTGTTGCCTTAGCTTCCCACCTCTGGACGTTGTTGTTGCGGTGTAGCTGTTGCTGTTGGCAATGCAACAGCGGCGTCCGTCAACGATCCTAAAGCGATTTGCATATTAAAAAAAAAAAAACAGAAAAAACCAAATTTTTGTTGAAATCACTCTGTTAAGCTTTGTTCGGCGGCAGTCGGAGGCGATCAGAGGCGTTCATAATCAAAACTGAAGTGATGCGGTGGTCACGCTGCTGGCGGCTTTGGCTCTGCCGCAGACAGGAAGGGGGCAGACCATGGGAAGATTGGAGCGCTGGAGCGTTGAAGCGTTAGCCGGCTTGACCAACACACAGACACACCGTCGCACACCATCACACACACACCGTACGTATGTGTGTGTGTGCATGCATATATTTTATATGCAGCAAGCCGTGTTGACACTTTTTATGTGTTTAATAAATTAAGTTTTACAAAATAGAGAGAATACGACACGCTGTCGCTTCTGGGCTCCCTCTCTCAGCCACCACTGGCCGCGTCTTTATGGCATCTTTTTGGGACATTCGGTTCGTTTAATGGTTGACATTTGAAATTTTTGTTGGTCGACTTTAACACGCATTTATGGCTTCTGCTTTATGGCCTTCGAAATGCGTTACCTTAAACAAAAAACGCACACACACACATGTATATAAATAAATAAATATAAATATATATATATAAATATATATATATAGCCAATAAAGATGATTGGTGTCTGGACTGGCAGAGCTTAGCTGGGAGATGAATATTTCTTTTTAAATTTTGGTGGTCTCTTGAGAATTTTGAAATTTAAATGAATTTCTAGGGAAAGGAAAAAAGCCGTTGACTTGGCCAAATGGCAGTCAAAGTTTATCATTTAATTTGTTCAGGTCAAATGTGATTTATTCGCTGCAGCTGAACAACAACAACACTGAAACGTAGTTAAGGAAAAATGTCACTTGATTTCAGATATGGGCAACGCCTGAAATAATTACTCAAATATTTCAATGAACAACAGAAGCGAAGGCAAAGCTGAGAACTTGTTTGGCAACAGCTTCAAATGAAACTAAATAAATCGATATATATACAGACGAGCTATAGATACAGATATATATAAATATATATATTTATATGTATACATATATATATATATATATATGTGTATCAGCCGAAAGCAATTAAAACTTGGCCAGCGTTCATCTCTTCTGGGCAAGTGGCAAGAGCCAAGAGCGTCAAGTAAACTGGGCTTTGAGCTTGGCGTAATCGAAATAAATGTCATTACAACAACAAGAACAGCATTTATGAACAGGTGGCAATTAAAATACAATTTGTGCAGTATTTAAATGACTTGCCGAGATGACATATGTCATGCAAGCTGCCCACAGACGACAAACAACAAGCAATTGTCGTAATAACAATAATATCGAGACAATACGAGCTTAAAAGAGACATACACACACACACACACACACATACATACATACATACATACATACACATATCTATATGTATCCTACTTATAGACATATGAACATTTATCAATAACAATGTTATTTATTGAAAGTGACATTGTTCAGTGCTTAAGTAATTGTTGTATATCCGAGAACTTTCAATCGGTATTTTGCAGCCGGGCATAAGCAGCTGCACAATACTCGTGCGCTGCTCAAGAATAGTGAAACTCATATTTCTTTTGTAATATTCTTTCTATAAGCAAAGTAACTTCAACTGCAAAATTTATTAATACCAACTCTAAGATTTTGCATAAGCTTAATAAGTAAGCTGGGATATATCAGGCTATAGTTAGGCTTAACAGTTAGTCATTTTGATACAGTTATGCTTGATTGGCATTCATACGAACTGTTGCATGAAGCTGGCTTCACTTTTGGTATCAGTTTAACAAGAGTTATCAGAAAATATAGTAAAGTAAAGTATATACTTAAAGATACTTTAAGTCTCAGAAACAGCAACGAATTTGACTTGTATAGTTTCTGATCAGGTATATATATATATATCTAAAAACTCTATAGAGTCAACTTAACTTCTTTCCTGCATTTCATTTTCTTTATCTCTTTTTCTGCTTTTTTCTCTGATTAAACATAATTTTTTCTAACATATCTTGTAATTCACAATCTGTTCAAGCAAGAATTCTCATACACTCAGCTATCTAAAAAAAACCAAAATGCTGTTAATTATTTTGCGCTCGCCCTCAGGTTGACAGATGCGCGGCAAGTTGTGGTTGTTATTGGAATATTACACATAATATTCGATATACCTATTTAGGCAATATTAGGCGCAATTTGTGCTCGCATCGTTGCTTAATGATCAGCTAATGCTGCTTACCATTTGGGAACGATGTTGAACGATGACGAGGCCGTTCCCAATCACAATTTGCGTATCCAAGTCGCACAACAGCCAGCGATGGCGATCGCAAACGCGATCACGAGCTGCGACTGCGGCTGCGGCTGGGCTTGGGGTTGGAGGGGCTGACTCTATGGCTGGTGCCATGGCGGTCTTTGGCTAGACATCGACATGGAGATCGCCTCTTGTGCGGCGCACAAGAATGTGACATGGGAATTTGAAGTGGAAGTGGCCATGGTCGACAGCACGAAGACCGTCAGTGCGTCAGCGTCAGCGTCAGCGTCTTCTTCTCGTATTGGCACTGGTACTTGTCTCTCCCTCTCTCCCTCTCGCTCTCTCTGTGTCTGTGTGTGTGTGTGTGTACATTGTCATGTCACGCCGAGGCAGCTCTAGAGCGCAGCTCGTTCAGCCAAATGTCCACTCTGTGTGTCCAGTGACTGTCTGTGCGGCATCGTTACCATCGCTCTTAAAAACGTGAAGTGTCCACTCAGAATTTGTCACATCATTATTCTTATTTTTCTTTTAAATAATCATATTTACACACACGCACACACACGCACACACACACGCAAAATACATGGCTGTTGGCTGTGGTGCGCCTGGGAGGTCTTTTGGCCACTTCGTTAGGCCTTTTCGGTGGAACTCCTTGAGCATCAGCAGTGGACAATGTTTCACATGGAGACAGCCACAGTAACAGCGACGGGTGCGTGTTGCCCCAAGCCAGGGGCATGCACCACATCGATGACAAGACACGAATTCAAATCGAATGCTTGCGAGCCAAGCGAATGAGCGTTCACTAATCATTTATTAAGCTTACAAATCATGTGACAATTAATTATATTTTGCGAATCAACAATAATAAATTATACCTCGGGAATTTTGATATTTCAATATACTTTTAGAGCTAAAGCCTTGGCTGGTCAGAAGGCGAGAGGAAAGAAAGGATTTGTAGCCCTCTCAGTGTTTCGCTCTCTGTCTTCTTCTTTCTCTCCCCCTTTGACGTCTCTCTCTTTTTGTTTCTTTCTTTCTCTCATTCTCTCTCACTCTCACTTTCTCTCTCACTCTCACTTTCTCTCTCACTCTTTCTTTATCTCTCTCTCTTTCTTCATCTCTTTGGCTCTCTCCTTCTCTCTCTTTCTCCCTCTCCTCACTGTCTCTCTCTCTCTTTCTCTCTCTCTCTCTTTCACTATCTCTCTTTCGCTCTCTCTCTTTCGCTCTCTTTCTTTCTCTCTCTCTTTCTCTCTCTCTTCTCTCTCTCTCTCTCTCTCTTTCTCTCCTCTCCTCACTCTCTCTCTCTCTCTCTCTCTCTTTCTCTCTCTCTCTCTCTCTCTTCCCCCCTCACTCTCTCTCTCCCCCTCTCTCTCTCTCTCCCCCTCTCTCTCCCTCTCTCTCACACACTCACATTGACACTCCATCATTGCAATTCCATTGTTAAACTTCGCCTCTCTTTGCGATTTTCATAAACCGAAACTTTAAAGAATTTGGAGTATTCTCGTATTAGATCCATTTATTTGCCTATTTCTATATTAATCAATTCCAAATCTAAATATTCTCTCTCTCTCTCTCTCTCTGTTGCAGCTTCGAAAATTGCCGCAACATTGGAAGAAACAACAACGAATCAGTTAGTATCTGCAAGGGAACGATTATCTGTGTCTAGTCCAACGTATTGTCACAACTCTATATAGATTAACGGTAGCTTGTAAGGCAGACGCTCTTGATGAATATTGGGCAGGAAAAGCATACGCATCAGTCGCATCAGTCGCAGCAGTCGCACACGCATCCGCATCCGCATCCGCATCCGCATTCGCATACACATCCGCAACAGCAGGCGCTTGTCAATCGCAGCCGCCACACAGATCCTCATAGTGGTTCGGGTGCTGTTGCTGCTGGAGCCGCTCCATCTGACTATCCAGCCTTGCTGCTTGGCTATCGCTATCCGCTGCCGCCCGGCCATGATCATCGACTGCACATCGAGCACCTGCGGCGCTCCGCTGCGGAGCGGCAAGTGAGGAGTCCCAACGGCTGTCCCATGGTTATGACACCCAGTCGACGCAGCTCGCCGCCGCCGTTGCCGCTGCCGTTGCCGACGCGCCATGCACTGAGCGCTGGCTCCGTTGGCCCAGCAGCCCAGCCGACCCAATCCCAGTCCCAGTCCCAGGCTCAAGCTCAGGCCCAGGCCCATGCACAGACGCCGTCCCAGACGCAGTGCATGAACGCTCACTTTTTGCACTTCCAGTCGCAGCTGCATCAGAAGCTATCCGCCAGCTACTTTCGCAACCCGCCCTCGCCATCGCCAACGGAACGAGAACGGGAACGCGATCGGGACCGGGACCGATCGGGCTCTGGGTCTGGCCCATCGCCGCCAGCGACGAGCATGAGCACAGCGCATCTGAATCCGTTGAGCGATCTGCAGAATATGCAGCCCTTTGACTTTCGCAAAATCAACTCGTTCGGTGCGCCGCCGAATGCCACGGACTTCGTGCACCACCAGCACCAGCAGGCCGTGCACCTGCAGCAGCAGGCGGCGGTGCTGGCGCAGGCGCGCCGTCGCATCAACGAGGCAACCACAGCCGGTGAGAAAAACGCTGCGGTTGCAGCGGCTGCGGCAGCTGCTGCTGCTGCCGCCCAGAGCAATCAGTTCTTTAGCGCAATGGCCATGGCCGGGCATCCGTTGCCGTATCACTTGCCCCCACCGCCACCCCCACCTCCGCCACCGCCGCAACAGCAGCAACAGCAGCAGCTGCAGCAACAGCAGCAGCAGCAGCAGCAGTCGAACAACAACCAGGTGTCGTTGGCCGGCAGCGTCGCCGAACATAGTCACGGCCTTGGGCCGCACTCGCCAAATCACGCACAGGTGAATCACAGTCACAGCCACAGTCACGGACACGGTCACGGTCACGGTCACGGTCACGGTCATGGTCACGGTCACGGCCACAGTCACAGCCACAGCCAGTATCACCAGCACTCGCATGCGCATCATCACAAGACCGGACAGCCCACATCGCCGGAGGATTCGAGCATCAGCAAATCTCGTCATTTGGCCGCCGCCGTTGCTGGGGACAAGTCGAACAGCAGCTGCTCCTCGTCAAGTGCCTCGGGCACACAGCCAGCGAGTGGATCGCAGCGCATGACACGCTTGGCACTGGCCTCCGGATCTGGTGCCGGCTCGAATATGCGCGCCAGCCGCAAGTCGGGCCACTCGCCCGGCAGCAAACGTCAGTGGGGCTCGATGCCGGCCAATCTGGGCACGCAGTTCATCAATCCGGTGACCGGCAAGAAGCGCGTCCAGTGCAATGTCTGCCTGAAGACCTTCTGTGACAAGGGCGCGCTCAAGATTCACTTTTCGGCCGTGCATCTGCGCGAGATGCACAAGTGCACGGTGGATGGCTGCAGCATGATGTTCAGCTCGAGGCGTTCGCGCAATCGTCACAGCGCCAATCCGAATCCCAAGCTTCATTCGCCGCACTTGCGTCGCAAGATCTCGCCGCACGACGGACGCAGCGCCCAGCCACATCCGCTGCTGCTGCAGGCACCGAATGGCATCATGGCGGGGCTGGGTCCGTTTGGCAGCTTCCCGCTGCTGACGCCGCCGCCTGATCTGCGACACCATGCAATGGGCGGCATGGAGCTCAAGCACGGCCAGGAATATCTGCGGCGATCCTACTTGGATAGCAACGGCATGCTCGGCCGCTACGAGGGACAGCGTCGCAAGACGGCGCTCGAGCCGGGCGATGAGGATGATGACGATGATGAGATACTTGAGGTGGGCATACACATGCCCGATGACGACGATGACGATGACGACGTCGATGGTGACGGCGAGGGCGACGATGACGACGATGATCCCGATGGAGATGGCATCGTTGTGGTCGGAGACGAACTGGACAGCATTCCCGATAAGGACAAGCACAGCCACGACGATTATATGCTGGACAATGACAACGAGAGCGACGAGCGCTCCACCTCGGCCATCTCCAGCCACAGCCTCAGTCACAGTCACAGTCACAGTCACAGTCACAATCTCAGTCACAGTCACAGTCACAATCTCAGTCACAGCCACATTCACAGTCACAGTCACAGTCACAGTCACAGTCAAACCAAAGAACAGCAACAGCCAAGTCCCTGTCCGAGCAAAGCCGAACCGGAGCCATGCCCGGAGGCTGATGAACAGCACGAGGATTCGCAGAGCCTCACAGACTCGTCGCACGCCCTCGGCCAGACGCCGGCGAGCAAACGTAAGCGCAAGAGCCAAAATCCGGTGCGCTGCACCGTGCAATCGGATGAGAACTCTTGCGACAATTCACTGGATAACTATGACGTGGCCGCCGATTTATCCATCAAGAAGATTAAGCTCAACGATGACGAGTTCGATGCAGTGGCGGCAGCTGCAGCAGCCGCCGCCGCAGCAGCAGCAGCAACAGCAGCAACCGCAATAGCAACGGATGCGCCATTGAACGCCCAGCTGGACGCAACAGCCAAAGAAGCCGAGGTGTTAACCGGCTCCACAGAGTCCACCAAGGCGATACCCTCGCCCCCGCTAACGCCCTACACCAGCGAGGCCAAGGCGCACATTAAAATGGAACTGGAGGACGACGAGCAGGAGGAGCAGGAGGTGGCTCAGCCCAAAGGAGCTCAACGACCGGACGTGGCAACAGCAAGGAGCGCATACTCCCAGCAAGAGGAGGCAGTTGGCACGCTGGATCTGTCGCTGAGCACGGCCAGTGGTTCGATTATCAAGCAGGAGCCGCTGGATGAGCTGGCTCTAACCTATGGCGCGGATGCGGACGAGAATCGCTATATGCGCATCAAGCAGGAGCTCCTGGGCGACGATGAGCCCAGCTTTGTTCGGAGTGCGGTCGAGGATTGCTTGAGCAAGAGCAGCAACAACAACAACAACATATTGACTGAGAACCTGACGAACAAGGGCGGCGACTCCAATGGCAGCATCAAGGCGGAAGCCGAACGTGAGCCAGAACAGGAACACGAGCCAGAACCGGGCCTAGAGCCGGAGCCGGAGCCGGAGCCGGAGCCCGAACCGGAGCCCGAACCTGAGCCCGAACCGGAGGTGCCCATCGACAAGGAGAATCCATTGAAATGCACCGCCTGCGGTGACATCTTTCAGAACCACTTCCACCTGAAGACCCACTACCAAAGCGTCCATCTGAAGCTCCATCACAAATGCAACATCGACGGCTGCAATGCGGCGTTCCCCTCGAAGCGGAGTCGCGACCGCCACAGCTCGAACCTTAACTTGCATCGCAAGCTGCTCTCCACCAGCGATGAGCACAATCTGCTGCTGCCGCCCGATCCACTGCTGGAGCTGATGAGCATCAACAATAACAAGGCGTTCGGCAATGCTGGTGTCGCTGCTGGCGGCCCGGTTACCGCTGCTGGCGGCATGCCCAGCAGCATTCACGCCGAGATTTTGGCACGCATCTGCGCTGGCGCCCATGGGCTAAGCATGCCGCTCTGCTTTGAGGCACTGCAGCATCGTTTTCACGCTGGCCACGGCCAGGTGCCGGTCGGATTTGGCGATCCGAATGCCAATGTCAATGCGAATCCGAATGCCTTCGTATCGGCAACCGATCCACGTCTGCTTCTAAACCACGCCAGTAATCCGCTGCTCTTCCCCGGCCTGCGACTGCCGCGCTTCCCCCACTTGACGCCCCATATGCTGGCGGGTGCCAGCGCTCTGAGTCCATTCTGCCGTCGCACCTCTTCCGATTCCAATTCCCAGCACTCGATAACACCGCCCGTTGGTGCACGCGGCTGCGATAGCGTTTCGCTGTTGGGTTTGCGTCCGCGCTCCGGCTCCGGTTCCGGATCGCCCGAATACGATGCTCAGGCGAACCATACGCATGCGCACACGCACATGCACATGCAGGCGGCCGGAGAGGAGGCCGGTCAGAGCCAGCGGCAGTCGCCAGATCGCATATCATGACCATGTACCTCGTACTATGCCAAGGCGCTGGCATTTTATCACTGAAGGATCGTCGTCGGACAACCACAATTCATTCATGCAATATCAGGCTAAAACTTAGGACTACACAGCATTGCTCATAATCATAATCGATCAATCGATAGGTCGATAGCTCGATAGGTCGATAGGTCGATAGGTCGACTTATCGATCAGAGAAGAAGGACGAAGCATACGCAATCCAAACTGCAGCTTGGCTCGCCGGCGCTCATTATAAACAATACTTTTACTAGGCTAATATAAAATATTAGATGGATCAACTAGCATTTTTTTTTCTATATATATATACATATATACATATATATATATATATAAATAAAATAATGAAATCCCCATTTTTTTTTTTGAACTTGTATTTATAAAAACTGTTGTTTTGTGTACAAGCATGAAATTGTAGAGAATTGAATAATAATTATAATAATAATAATAATAATAATAAAAATAATAATAATCATCATTATAATAATAATGATAATACGTATTATAATGATAATGAGAAACGCAAATGAATAATAAAAAGCAAATTAATATATTAATTAATAACGATATATATTGTTAGTGATACTCGATTATGTAAGCATAGCCTCTAAGCGCATACTTAACATAGATATGTGTGGGTGGGTGGTGTCGACTACTATTTTTTTTTTTTTTTTTTTTTTTTTTTGTGATTGATTTGCACTGCGACCCCCATGGGAGAATCCCAAGTGTATTGTATGATAACAAATTGAAAACGAGTCAACGATAATGATGATGATGATGATGATGATGAACAAAATGCTTTCAATGGGGCAAACAAAAACTGATTACCAATTACTGTATCGATATGATCTATCTTTCTAGTTTATATAAATGTTTTTTTTTCTGTTGTCTTCTTTTACGAGAATCCTAGAGTATCATATAGTGGGATAGTTCTGAAGCAGTAACCAGGCAAATACCTTCAACTCATATTTAAGCTATATATGTTTGCAATAAAATATCAAGAAAAATATAAAAAACAAAAACAAAAAAAAAAAAACAATTAATGCATTTTTCTATTCAGGTGAATTGGGGCAGCTGAGATGAAGCTACATCTGCATTAAGCTTACAAGTATAATACGAACTTTTCAGTTCATTCACTAGCTGAAAGTAGTATGAAACACTGGGCTGCCGAGCAAAGACTTAAGTAAATGCAATGACTTTGGAATCGGTATGTAACAGGCAGAAGCAGAAGTGGCCAACTGCATAATCTATATATATTCTAGATCAGGTCTGTCACTCTTTATATGTGTGTGTGAGTGCGTCTGCTCGTCAGGTACTCCCCACTAGAGCTCAGCTAATTAAAGGCTTCATCATGCTAATCCCTGTGCGAAAAAGTTTGTGTCTGTGGCTCTGCAGCTCAGCATATTTTTAAGCGGAAGTTGCACTCAAAGCTCGTAATTATAAGTGCAGCACCCACTAGATAACTTAAGGTGACTAAGCAACGAGAATGCAGCTGCTAATTCCTGCTTGAACAGCAACACAAGTCCTTGAAGCACAAAACAGCATATTTCTACAAAAATATAACACTGCCTCTTGTGATGCACAGCGCGTGGCAAGCAGTTAAGCGTGAGGCAGCCATCGAAGAACTGCCCAGATAGATAGACGTATTAAATTTGTGAATAAAGCTTAGAGTAGGCGACTTCTAGTTACCAATGGCTAGCTGAAATATTTGCAAACATTTCGCAAATGCAATTTTGATTGCAAATTATATGTGAAATGATTGCCAACTTTGGCATAGGTGGTCTGGTGGCGTTGATACTTATTAGGATGCCATTGGTAAAATGCAAACTTGTGGTTAGCACATTTTAGGGGGTTGCTATGCATGCGATTTTAATTTTAGATCGATTAAAATGGCTCGTAAATTTAGCTGCCTCCGCGTGGGCGTTCAGTGTCCAAATAAATAAATGCATCGAATGGGTTGAATTCGCAATCGCACTTGGGCCCACATGTGGGTAGTTGTTGTGCCCAGTGCTGTCTATATGGATACACATATGCACACATATATCTAACTATCTATATATGCATGCATATACATATATATATATATATATATATATAAATAAAAGTATCTCCGGGCCGGTAAGGCAATGGCTTGTGGTTGTCCATGTCACCCCTGGGTCGTCGACGCCATTGCCAGTGCGATGCATTGGCCTCCCTTAGGAGAAAATAATAGAGTGTACGGTGTGTACGAGTAGTGCAATTTATTTAAAGTAACATTTTAGTGTTTCCTTCCGCTGAAATTCGTTCTCTTCCTTCCTGTTTGGCAAAGTCCCGCTGTCTCTCTCTCTCTCTCTCCCTTTGTCTCTTTGCCTTGCTATCTCGCTGGGCATAGGGCCGCGGCCCGTATACGTACTCGAGGCATAACAACAGATTGTGGGCAAATAAAATTGCCACAATGTTATCGTTAAGCCTGCAGGACACGCAGAAACAACAACAACAACAGCAACGGCAACACCAACGCCATATCCGTAGCCACGGCACGTTCAGAGCCACCTCCCTGCCGCTTACATACCCTTACATTAAGCTTACATATGCACACACACACAGTTGCATATGCCACCATATGGCGGCACACACACACACACACACATATGTGCTCTGTTCTTAGTTTTTCTGACTGCATTTCATTTGCTACTTTATTCCAACTCATATGTGCAAGTTTCTATATAAATACAGACACACACACACATATATACATATATATACATTGCAATTATACACATGTATAGTAGGCGACAGTTACCCCACGCACACACCTGCACACGCTCACACACACACAGCTAAGAGATATGACAATATTACGTGGATAATGTTGTTCTAGATGCAACGTAATTCTGCACTTTTGTGCCCAAATCACTGATACACACACACACACACACACACACACACACATTGAACAACTGATGAGCGTGTTTGGTATTTTATAGCTCTAGTTGCAACGCTTTTAAGACAAACAAGCCAAAACACAGACAATGCAACTGCCTAACTCATGGATAGCCAGTGGAAAGCTGTGATAACCGACTAGCAAATACCCAGTAAAACAGAATATATGGACAAAAATAGATTTTGTCCTGAAAGCAGTCAAATCTATAGGCAGTCAACAGCCAGCTAAGTGCAGAGATCAAAACCTTTTTACAGGGTATCTGCGTGTAGTCGCTGTCAATGCATGTGCGTGTGCGTGTGTGTGTGTGTATCGGAACATATACAACTACAAAATGTATTACATAATTCGAGCAGCGCACACAAAGGAATTGCCAGGGCGAGCAGACAGGTAAATATCAGTTGAGTATACTCGCATGGGCATGGATATGTGTATGTGTGCATGCATGTGGCACACATGGATATGTATGTACAGTACTCATATGCCGCTATATAGACACCTTGGATGCCACGGATAATGCAGTCTATGTCTAGCCCCTAACGTGCAATTGTTAAATTTTGGTCTGCCAGTGGCAGTGGGTGGAAATGTGGTCTCGGCTTGGGTTTGGGCTTGGGTCTGGGTGTGCTACACGGCTTGGGTCTGTTTACGGTTCCGGGACCGTGTTTTGCACAGCACAATCGCCGCCATACAGATGTGGCAGCCAAAAAAACTGATAATGTACTCCTGCCAACTGCAAAACTAATTTGTTACCGAGGACCTTGCAGTCAGTGAGGCGTTGAATCGCATCGTAACTATTTCATATACACAGCGTAGCATAGCCATTCCTAGTTATTACCGTATAACTAAGCTCAATTATAACATTTTTGAACAGCCTTAATTAGTACAGCTATAGCGATGCTATACTGACGCTATCTTGACTATTGATTTTTAGTGTTCGAATATGGCAATGCAAATATTAAAATAAAATCTTCATAAAAATTATCTTGACATTATATTTTTAATGAAAAAAGTTAATTGCTAACACGCTGTTATGGGGGTTCGAAAAAGGTTTGTAATTCCAGTATTGAAATTTATTTTAAAACTATATTCGTCATAGTTCACAATATTAACTTGTATGTAAGTTTAATAAAGCAATATTAACAATGATAATGCTAATGATAATAATATAATATGTATTATATTATTATTATTTTATATATTATATTTATATATAATTTTATATTTTTAATTGCTGTTTTTATTTGCAATCTGTCTTATACTATAATACAATAAACAAATTTGTTAACAATAATATTACTTAACCGGATGGCTTGGGTTCCAATGAGATCAATCCATATATATAGCTTCTTTTCATATTTATCGTTTTCATTAAATCTTTTGAGTCGCCTGTGGTTGCTTGAGTCATCTAGTAGTCTTAGTGCTAGAGCAATAGTATTTTTTTAAAAATATTCTTCATTATATAGGAATACATAATTTATATGTCAGTTAAATAAAAATAGCAATGACAATGACAATGAGAATGATAATGCTAATGTTAATAATAATAAAAATAATATATAATAGAAAAATATTCTTCATTATCTATAAATGTATAACTTATACATCAGTCTAATGAAAACAGTAATTACAATAACAATGGCAATGATAATACTAAAAATATAAAAATAGCAAAAAAATTTAAAAAAAAAGCAATATTCCGCGTAACATATAAATAAATAAATTATACATCAGTCTAACAAAATAGCAATGACAATGATAATGCTAATGCTAATGCTAATAAGAATGCTATAAAAAATGAATTTAATTCATATTATATAAACATACAACTTAGTTAATGCTAAAAATAATAGCAATACTAACAATAATCTACATTGTACCCAATGCTAAGGCTAAATACAACTACTCAGGAGAGATCAATATAGTTGAGTACTACGAACATTTACAAATATTTCCTGATTTGATGGGTCTTTGACCAACGGAAAAGCAGCCGGGCAGGCAGACGGCTCGAAGGGATTTGTCTCGCGAATCTGAGCCGCGGGCGCCGAGAATGGGAGTGTTGGGCAGGTAGAATTAATCCAATTTAAAAAGCTGTTGGCTAATCCCAAAAACGCTCGAGTCTGTCAACTAAGTAGCTGTGTGTGCTTCAGCTGGGATCAATGAATGAATCCCATGGCTTTGGCTTTCATTGATCTGCAGTTCGTAAGGCGATGCGATGTGTGGCCCAGTGGCGATTAGAAGAGCTAATTTAATCTATGGCGCAGGATATACAGTCGTAATCCCGCAGCTTGCGCACATTCCCTCTCGATAGCCGGGCACAAATGTCGCTTGAATAAATAGACCTGGCCAAATGAAAGCCGATCACAGTCAATTGAGAACATTTACAGCAGACACATCACATCGGAAGAGCCTTCATTTCAAACATATCCATGGATACTGCGCCCGTGTTTCAGTCTAGCTTCTCCATACGCTCGCTGCTCTCCAGCACGCATCTGGAAGAGGAGCAGCGGCAGCAGGTCGACGTGGAGGTGGAAGCCAAAGAGGAGTCACACAAATATTATATTAGCTCCAGCCCGAGCGATTCCTGCAATAGCTCCGAGGATGCATCCTCTGAAGATGGCAACACCAATTCCCCCACAGCCAGCAGCAGCAGCAGCAGCAGCAGCAGCGGCAGCAGCAGCAACAGCATGTCGGATGCGAAGCCCGCATTTACGTATAGCGCTTTAATTGTGATGGCCATAAGGAGGAGTCCAGAGAAACGATTGACATTGAGCGGCATCTGCAAGTGGATAGCCGATAATTTTCCCTACTATCAGAATCACAAGAGCGTCTGGCAGAACTCCATACGGCACAATCTGAGCTTGAATCCGTGCTTTGTGCGTGTGCCGCGCGCCCTCGACGACCCCGGACGCGGTCATTACTGGGCACTGGATCCGTATGCCGAGGATCTGACCATTGGCGAGACAACGGGCCGTTTGCGTCGCAGCAACAGCTCACTATTGAGCCGCAATAAGGCAGTGGCTCATGGCAAGAGCCATGGCTATGCGCATCCTTATCAGCAGCTGACCAGCAATCCAGCTGCGGCGGCTGTGCTCTATGCGCAGCTCTTCAAGCCGCACGCTGCCTACTTTCCCATCGTGCCAGAGCCAGCACAGCCGCAGCATCCAATCATGATGCAGAGCGGCCAGCATCCGATTGGAGCTGGCATGGGCGTGGGCATGGGCATGGGCATGGGCATGGGCACTTTGGCTATGACAACGGCCGCAGCACAACGATACCAGCAACATCAGCCGCAGCATCAGGGGACCTTATCAGCGCCTTACCATCAGACACAGGCTGAGACACAGTCGCAGTCGCAGCAACAGCAACAGCAGCAGCAACGGTATAGCAACAACAATTACTACCAACGACATCAGCAACACCAGCAGCAGCAATTCCAACACCAACACCAACTCCAACATCACCATTATCAACAACAACAACAACATAATTATTATCTACAACAACAGGAGCAATACGCATCAGCGTATAACAGCAAATGGATGCAACAACCGAATGAAAGCTTGTGGCGTTAATTTTTAGCTAATTTTAAATAAGTTCAAAACTGATATAGAAGGTGTGCATAGGTGTGCATAGGTGTGCATAGGTGTGTGTATGTGTGTGTGTCTTCTCTTCAGTTTTTTTTTTTTGTCTTAAATAATAGCTTTGAGCAAAGGTTACCTGCCATGGCGTAGAACGCGTTTAAGTTAAAGGATTTTCCTAATCTATATATGATATGACATGCTATGATATGAGCTTAGATATGATATATAATAGAATATGATATAATTTTAATACTAAATATTATTAGAAATAGCTTTAAGAAGTTGGATCTAATCATGAATAGTTTCTATCTAGATATAATCTTAAATAGTTATACAATTTAAAATAAAAACTAAAAAACCCAACAAAATATGTATTTAATTCTCTTATAATATATAACAGAACTGCTGACTGTTCTTAAACTGAGCTGACTTTTGCTGGAAGCATGTTTGCTTGCTTGTTCCTTACTGTAGAGCCAAAGTAAGTAGACATCATTGAGATAATAAGATATAATTCCTACGTTCCATATGACATAGTCATCAGATGTAACTGATTCAGGCTTATGTATACACGCAACATAAATCAAAGGGCTCAGTTCCACTGAACATTGAACTACTATTATGAACAATTTTATAAAATAATATTTTTATAAATATTTTCATTAACTACTATTTTCATGAGCTACCATTTTCACTAACTAATATTTTCTTGAACTACATTTTTCATAAGCATTTTCATGAATTACCATTTTTTTGAACATTTTCATGAACTACTTTTATAAACATTTTTATGAAATAATATTTTTATAAATATTTTTATTGACTGCTATTTTCATGAGCTACTATTTTCACTAACTAATATTTTTTTTGTGACTATTTTCATGAACATTTTAATGAACTACTATTTTCATGAACTTTACCATGAACTACTATTTTTATGAACTACTTTTCATGAACTTTATCATGAACTACTATTTTCATGAACATTTTCATGAACTACTATTTTCATGAACAATTTCAGTAATGCAAAATACAAAGAATAGTCAGCAGAACTCAAAGATACAGCTTATTGGCTTTCAAGCAAAAGCTGATTAGGATTATGCACACTTCTACTTCTTAAAGTTAGCTTAGTAAGAACTTTTGCCATTACTGCAAGCCATGCACTTCGACCAGCTGGTTGCGTAAGCTGGCAAAACACTTGATGCTTTTACAAGCTTAGCTTCAATGCTACTTAAAATGCTTAAAATAAGCTCAATTATACTAAGCGCGGATTGAGCTGCTGCTGTGATGCATAATTATGGCCAAATCGTGGACTAAGCTGGGCTCTTATGACTTGGCATTGCCTCTTAGCTACACCTGTCGTGATGATCAGCATCATTATTATTGCTATTGCTATTATTATTAATATTATTTTTATTTTTATTTCTATTAATATTATTATTGTTATTATTATTATTGTTATTATTATCAACAACATCATAGAGCATCATATGGCTGCTGGCTTGGCTTGACTTGACTTGACTTGGCTGGCTGGCTGGCTGGCTGGCTGGCTTAAGTTTGGCTCGTAACTTAATGCTAGCGGTCAATAGCATTACGCCAGCTACAGCAACAACAACAAATGGCTTATGAAAAGAGCTAATCTGATAATACAGAATTGAAAGGGGCGGTCACGGCACGAATTTTGCTACACGCTCTTGATACTATGGCAGCAGCAGCAGCAGCAGCCACAGCTTAGGCCAAAACAAAAACCGAGCCGGAACGAGGCAGAGGGGGCGTCAGTGCCAGTGGTCTTCAGACTGAGCCACAGCCTCAGCCTGGAGCCGATGCGACGATTGACGACGACGACGACGACAACATCAACTGCCCCACCGAACCACCAACATATTGGTATAGTGCACCACATGCGAGCATAAAAACAGAAGGGATCGATGATCGGACAGCGAAATTGCATTTGTCTGCAGCCATAGCCGAGAGTTGGGAGTTGCAAGTTGCAAGTTGTTGGCTGTGCTGCTGCACTCGTACTTATTATTGGCCAGCTCTACATGGCCATAACGATATCGAGTAAAGTGCACAGTGCACACACACTGTGTGTGTACAATGTTCGAACATGCATAATGACGAGAAGCTGCATGCAGTATGCTGCATGTGGCATGCCCCCAGTTGCTTGTTGCTGCTGCTGCTGCTGCTGCTGCTGCTGCTAGTAATCTGTTGGCCGATTGGCGTCTGAGCAACAGATGTCAATAATTCAGCAGCAATAGCGATGTTTTTCCCTCTCTCTCTATCTATCTGTTTTCTGTTTTCACAAAAGCTGCAATAGTTGAGCTCTATATTTATGTGCAACGCGCACTTTGTTCCACTTTGGATCGTTTTAATTTGCTTACTTCCTAACTGATTGCTGATTGCTTCTCGGGGAGAATGGCCAGTCGCCCGCTTGGGACAAAAGAAGAGATTAACGAAAATATATACGAAAAAGGAATACGAAATCTGCTCAAACTCAAACTGAAACTCAAACTCAATTATAAAAATTTCAACCCAATCTCAATTCTGGCGAAAATGCTGTTTTGAAGTTTTTATTATTGCCGTTCATGGCTTTACTTCTTCTGATCCCGATTTCAGAACCCTTATCCCTATACATGTCTCTCTTGCTCTCTGTGTATGTGTGCGTGTGTGTGTGTGTGTGTTGTTCTGTGGTCATTCGTCATTTTAAGTTTTACGCACACACATGCAGAGTCAGAGATCTTGACCCGCTCCCCGTGCCCCAGCCAACAGACAGTCCCTAGCCATTGACACTGATATGTGTGGCAAGGTATGTCTTTTGAAATGACAATCTGCAATTTGCTATTCGAAACCGTTTAAAGTAATTTATTTTTACCCTTGCCGAGGACGCGATCCGCGACTTGTTTTCCAAACACACACAGACAACTGCAGTATATAGATATATTTATATATATAGAGATGTATGTGCATAACTTTTGATACACGCTAAGAAACAAAGTGGCTTCAGATGTCTTCAGAGTTGAGCTGCATAAAGTCTTAATATCTCTAGCATTTCAGCTACTAGAAACGTCAATTTTTGATATATTTCCATACAGTTCATATATAGCAATAGCATTTATGCAAAGCGCACGAAATTTCTTTTAGTGTAGCTGTCTTCTGCTTGGCATAATACCCAACACTGGTCAGCAATAAGTGCTGCGCGCTCAACCGGATGTCTGTTCAGATTTAGAGCTTCATACAGTGAGCCTCATTATATATATATATATACATATAACATATATATAACACATATATACTTATATGCTTAAGCTTTGACTAACAGAAAAGAATTCCCAATAGATATGGCCAATGCGCCTCCCCTGGGCTGAGCCCAGACGCCGCGCACGAATTTTCTTGGGGACAACTGATTGGAAACGCGCAGACAAATGACACTGGCTGATTAGGGGCAATCGGTATGGCATTTAATTAATGGTTTCTGCATGCCTCGAACATAACTCAAAGAACTCAACTGACTTGATAATCAATGGGCCCGACTGTACTCCAGCATGTCCTGCGTACACGCGTCCATCTATTGGCCGTCAGCTAATAAACAGAAAGACGAAAAACATTTCGTTATGCTAAATTGAGTTCGTAAATATTTTATGCAGCCGAGCGATACAATAGTTTTTCGCCCGAAACCAAATCCGGGCATCCAGCACAAATTTGCTCTCTTGACGTTGTGATTGAAGAGCCCCACCCCACACAGACATGTGCGCTTGTGTGTCCATATGTCAACCCTTTTATTGTGGGTTGTCATGGCTGGTCAGTGGATGCCCACGGTCCAAGTCCCAAGTCCTGGCTCATAAATAATGCAGCCAATTAAGGGAGCGTACATGTCACACATTACATCATGTTATGCATGAGAGTTTGCACGTCGGTCCGGACGATACGGCTGCTGCTGCTGCTGCCCAGGTATCCTTCTCAACAAGGACATGCTCAGACAGCCGTCAGCAGGCAGACTCCTGCATATGCATAGATAGCGAGCTAGCAATCTGTTGTAGTAGTTTCTACTTAGACATAATCTGCGGTGGCTGATTTACACAGGTGTCAGGTGGATAGCCTTAAGGAGTCGTGCGAGTCTTGCTGGACTTCAATGTACAGAAGTGAGTTGATCAGTTAAGATTGACTGTTTAAGGTATACGATTTGCTCTTTAATCATAACTTACTACGCTTCTTTGCCTTAGCTTAGGCTCATAACTAGTCGCTGAAAAAAGATGCCTTAGCAGTCAGTAATGCAGGAAATTCAGACAAGAGAATTCGAATATCAGTTTTGAGTTATTCAAGTTGTGAGAATTGCATAGAAGAGCTGTCTGCTGCCATACATTCTAGAGGACATAGCTGGTAGCTACTCTAAACAGTAAAAGTTCAATCCGCTCTGTTAAGTTAAGTTAACTTTTAATGTCTTGACCCAGTTGTGGACCTGCTGGATGACAAATTGGCTTAAGAAAAAGTGATAGTGTCACAGTGTCACAGTGTCAAGTGTCGAGTGTCGAGTGTACCAGGTTCACATTCACAAAGTTGTTCCGTTGATTGACAAATCAAATTGGACTTGGACATGGTAGTCGGTAGATGAATTTGGAGCCAACGTGGAACTG